GCGCTTCTTCAACAACAACAACAACAACAATGATAAAAAATACATACACAGCATACATTGATGAGAAGAAATACATACACAATAGTTACTATACAAATGGCTCACATACTATACACAACACCTAACAGATGTATGTTTTATTCAGGTTATTATTTACACATCAACACAGTCATACATCAGTAGACACCACAACGACTCATACATGAAGAGTGGATGACGTAAACATGACGTAAACATGAGTGTATTGTTATATGAAACGTAATTTATTGTTCCGTCTGATAAATTTTAGATAACAAACATGATTATATATGGCGATTATCCTCACTGAAATTTACGATTATATATATAAATAGAGACCAAAAAAATGCATTTAATGCCAACTTTATGATAACTAAGTCCTCTTAAGTGTACAGGGTGTAAAGTGCTGCTTTACACTGTATTTCTTTTGCACTACACTGTCTCTCCCAATGGCTCTGAAAACAATGGAGGAATTGGTGCTTGTGAGGAGAGTGACAGTCCTTAATAGGTTAGGTTAGGTTAGGTTACGTGAGGAATATTTTACGGTTCAAACCTTTCATTATCATATAAACTTTCACTTTCAGCCAAGGGAGGAACTAGTGGGGGGGAGAGGAGGTAGGAGGGAGGGAAGGAAAGGGAGGAGGGGAAAGGGAAGGAGGGAGGTAGTGGAAAGGGATGGAGAAAGGAGGAGGGGGGAAAGGAGGAGGGGGAAGGAGGAGGGGGAGGGAGGACTAAAATTTCCCCCTGTCTCTTCTCACTGCGGTCCTCACTTCCGGTAATGGTTGAAAGTTATATTTAAAAAAATTTATTATCATTTACATTGTTTAAATTATCTTCATATTATCTCCTTTACTTTTGTGAGGCAACAGGAAAAATGCAGTTTAGAGGAGGGGAGAGGAAGGGGGAGGAGGAGGAAGGAGGAGGGGAGGGAAGGAGGGAGGAGAGGAAGAAGAGGGGGTAAGGAAGGAGAAGAAAGAGAGAAGAAGGAAGCATAAGAAGAGGAAGAGGAAGAAAAAGAGGGGAAAGAGGAAAATGAGGCGTTTTCTACGGTATGAGAGCACATAACTACCACAACACGTCATTCACATAAGGATGAGTTAGTGGTATTATGTTCTCTAAGACACAACGAACACACTTGAGCTCCTAAAACAAACCAACATGACTTCATAAAACACACAATACTAAAACAATGGGTTTAGTTATGTTGTTCTTGTTTTAACACATTACGAAAGTAAATGTGTCAGTGGGTAGTTAAGTTACCTGAGTGTCGATACCCTGTGATGTGGTCTGGTGGTGTGGTCTAATGACTTCTGGTGTGATGTGGTCTGGTGGTGTGGTGTGGTCTGGTGGTGTGGTCTAATGACTTCTGGTGTGATGTGGTCTGGTGAATTGAATGTTTGTTTGTTTTTTTTTGCCGCGGACTGCAGCTAGTTTAATATGCACCCTATAATCATCCTGTGAGCAAGAGCGTAAAGAGATTGCAGAGTAGAGGCCACAAAAGTGTTTATCACACCCCAGTGATAAGGATATTATGGTATTAAGTGTTACAGAGTATTTCCAGTACATTGTCGGATCATAGAAAATTTTCGTGGATCACCTGAAGAATCATCGCCCCAGCTTATTTCACCAAACGATTAAACCACCTTGAAACTATTTTGGGAGGATGAGGTTAGGTTAGGTTAGGTTAGGATATGTTAGGTTAGATTTAGGTTAGGAGAGAATAGGTTTAGGTTAGGTTAAGTTAGGTTAGGGTGGTTTAATCGTTAGGTGAAATAAGCTGGGGCGATGATTCTTCAGGTGATCCATTTTCGTAGGTACTAGTTGCGAAGTGTGGATACAGCCTTAGTGTATCAGCTATCTTGTCACCAGAGATAAAGCGCTGTACCATTTCATACACAGTGTGCTTGGATCTGTCCCTAAAAGGTTCTATTTTGTCACGGTCTAAGACGTAGTGTTGGAGTGTGTGGCCATATGTCTGGCCACACACTTTACATTTAGTTTTGTTCACATCTGCCTGAGGGGCATACTGCCAGAGGTACTTAGATCCTAACCTTATTCTAGCGGTTACGACATCTTGTAGACTGGTGTGGGTTTAGCAGGGTGTGGTGTGGTGTGGTCTAGTGAGGTCTGGTGTGGTTTGATGTGGTCTAGTGAGGTCTGGTGTGGCTGGTATGGTCTAGTGAGGTCTGATATGGTCTGGTGTGGTCGAGTGAGGTATGGTGTGGTATGGTGTGGTCTAGTGAGGTCTGATATGGTCTAGTGTGGTCTAGTGAGGTCTGGTATGGTATGGTCTGGTATGATGTGGTCTAGTGAGGTATGGTCTGGTGAGGTCTGATATGGTCTGGTGTGGTCGAGTGAGGTCTTGTGTGGTCTGGCGTGGTCTAGTGTGGTCTGGTGGGTCTTGTGTGGTCTGGTATGGGCTAGTGTGGTCTGGTATGGTGTGGTGTGGTGTGGTGTGGTGTGGTGTGGTGTGGTCTTACTCCTCCCCATCATTATCTCATTTACCATTTATCTGATTACACGTTGTTCTCTCGGCTGCCTGAACTGTCACTGTAAGTCATGAGTGTTTACCTTAATGGTCACGCTCAGGTGCCCAATTTAGTGACGGAAAGAGAGAACAACAACAACAACAACACAGAAGAAAGAAAGAAAGGAGGAGACGAAGAGGGAGAAGGACGACGACGACAACAAGAAAGAAGAAAAGATGAAGAAGGAAGGAGAAAAAATAGAGAAATGAGGAGGGGGGGCGAAGAACAATAGACAAGAAAGAAGAAGAAGAGACAAGGAAGAAGAAAGAAGAAGAAGAAGAAGCTGATTACACCAAGGAGAATTTATAATCAAAAGTTTGTATTCTAGCAAGGCACACGGCAGGTCACCACATATACATACATGCATACGTACATACCTACAGTGGTCTGAGGAGCCCTGGACGTGTGAAGGTCTCTGTTTTGGCCCTAAGGTCTGGCTATGACGTTACTTGTTATATAATAAATGTAGAGAGAGAGAGAGAGAGAGAGACCCTCACTCTAAATGACACACACACACATACACACACTAATTAAACTTCTCTGGCATTCAAAGTAAAAATACCTGTACTTATTAAATACTACAGCCTTAACTCAGCTCCAGTACAGCCACATTATTCACTATATACCAAACATACTGTGTTCAATAACGTAAAATAGTGACGTACTGTATACCTACTAATGAATGACTTTTATCAGTGTCAGTTCATATCGCTCAGGTGTGATTCGCTGGTGTTAGTTGTTTTTATTATTTACCGGATTATTGGTGATCACTTGTTAACGTATGAGAGGATGTAACTATTGGTAGGTAATTCTCCTCTCCCCCGCCGCCCTCCCCGCCTTAGGCAGAGTTACCCCCACCTCCCTACCCCCTTCCCATACCGCGATCTACCCCTCCTTCCAACCTCTCCCCATATTGTGAGTTACCCCTCCTCCTTCCTCCTCCCATCGCCCCTCCCATACAGTGAGTTCCCCTTCCCTCACCATAGGTGAGTACCCCCCCCTTCCCATACACGCCCCTCCCATACCACGTCACGGCGAAAGATTTACGTCACAGCAGAGTCCAGAAGGCCATAACTCTCGCTAATAACGAGAGAATATACCGAACTGGTTATAGATCTTCTCGTGATGTAACAATACGCCAAATTGGGTTAAAATTTGCAGTTATTTGTAAGAGTTATCGTGTTGACAGCTCCTAGGCGCATGGACGGACGGAGAAGACAGACAAGATATGGACGTAGGAGACGGAGGGAGGAGAAGACATAATGGAGGGAGGAGAAGATGGAGGGAGGAGACGGGTGGAGGAAAAGACGGAGGGAGGAGACGGAGGGAGGAAAAAACGGAGGAGGGAAGGAAAGAAGGAGGGAGGAGAAGACGGAAGAAGAATAACGGAGGGAGGAGAAGACGGAGGGAGGAGAAGACGGAGGGAGGAGGAGAAGAAGGCAGGGAGGAGGAGAAGAAGGAGGGAGGAGCCACATGAAAGGAAAACACATTCCCTACGCCTCCTCTCCCAGTCCCCGACCAATCACGCAGTCAAGGTGGTAACTTCATGTCCGAGGTTCGGTAAGGGTAGAGCCTCACACCTCGTCTACTGCGTGTGTAAGGTGAGGACAGGAGCTATAGTGGTGTGACGTGTGCTGTATATCTAGTCGTTATTATTATTACTATTATTATATTATTATTATTATTTTATTATTATTATTATTATTATTATTATTATTATTATTATTATTATTATTATTATTATTATTATGTATATTTCTCCCGCACTTACCTTAACACTTCCCATCCACAATCTTTACCCAACTCAAGAGGTGACTGAACTCCCTTGCACCAAACGGCCCTTTATGAAATGAACTCAAGAGTACAGACAAAGAGACAGACAAACAGACAAAAAGGAAGAACGAGACTATTGTAATTCCTCCCTCCGAGTCTCACCTTACTTAAACGAAAGATCAGATGAGTAATGGAGAAAAAAATAATTAAGAGGTGAACTCAGGTGTGTTTACGTGGAGAGTTGAGGTTACCTGTTGAGAGGCGGGTCAGGTGGGCAGGGTAAATAAACAGTGTATCGCTGAGGTATACCTGTTGAGATGGTGGTGTGGGGGACGAGAGGGGCGTAACACAATAATGACTGTCTTTGGGGGAGGGATGGTGAGGTAATGGGAGGGAGGAAAGGGGGTGGAAGGGAGGAGAAGGGGGTGGAAGGGGGAGAGAGGAAGTGGAAGGGAGGGGGAGGAGAGGAAGTGTAAGAGGGGGCAAACGTGTTGGGAGGAGAGGGTGTTGAGTGGATGGGGAATATCGTTGTCGTATTGGAGAGAGTCGTTGGAACACACACACACACACACACACACACACACACACACACACACACACACACTGTATAAACGTATATTGACGAATGTAAAGGATTGAAAACAGATTTACAGATTTACACTTGTAGAGAGTCGTACTTACAACATTAGTGAGGTCCTTGTATCTAGGAGCTGCCCCTTACCTGTAATTAAACAAACACGTGTTACAGGTGATGATCATGGCAATATTTAGTTTTATGGCAGTAAAAATATCAGACATATTCTCAGACAACTTTATATATATATATATATATATATATATATATATATATATATATATATATATATATATATATATATAGAAGAGAAGAGAGAGAGAGAGAGAGAGAGAGAGGCTCTATCTCCTCTCCTCCTCCTCCTTCAATAATAGTACTATTACTACAACTATTAATTTTATTACTACTAACTATTATTATTACTACTAACCACTATTAATATTACTGTTATACTATTACTACCAGCTACTACTACAACTATTACTACAAACTACTACTACCACTGCTAGACACTATTACTACTGCCACCACCACTTCTGTACCACCATCAACAATTCTCACAAAACTACATCCCCTAACAAAAACACTACAAAACTACAAAAAATACACCGGATATATTTCTTGCAACTACATCCCTTCATTAAAGTATTCGATCCAACATTAATAATATACACAGGGACCCGAACACCCCGAACGCCCCCTCCTCCCACGTCCGGGTACCTGACGCCTGTGTATATTCCAACAGTCGCTTGAATACCTCACACCACAACAAGACCATGGACATGAATGACTCACCACGTACCAGTCTTCCTCTTCACGTATAGAAGACGCTTGTATCACAGTCACCAAAGATTCATGGCGCTTTAATCGATTCTAAACGGAGATTCAGACGTTTGAATAGATTTTAAACTGAATCGGCCGTTTAGATAGATTTTTAAACTAATTCAGACGTTTACATAAGAACATAAGAACATAAGAATGGAGGAAACTGCAGCGGGCCTATTGGCCCAGACTGGGCAGTCCCGTTTACACCCAACCCCTATTGCTCATATAAGCATCCAACCTATGTTTGAAGCTATTCAGCGTATTCGAGTTAATGATGATATTCGGTAACTTGTTCCATTCATCTCTGTTCCAAACCAGTGTTTACCTATTTCCGGCCTAAATCTAAATTTGTCTAATTTAAAACCATTGTTACGAGTTCGCTCCTGGTTGGATAGTTTGAGTATCTTTGTAATGTCCCCTTTGTTTGCCCTGCCTTCCACTTATACACCTCTATCAGGTCGCCCTCCTCTATGTCTCTCGAGGAGTGCAAATTAAGATGCTTTAACCTGTCTCTCTATACTCAAGGTTCCTAATGCCGGGATTAGTCTTGTCATTCTCCTCTGAATTCTTTCCAAGGATTTTATATCCATTCTGTAATACGGTGACCAGAACTGAACTGTAATCAGGTGTGGTCTCACAAGAGCAAGATACAGTTTAGGATGACCTCGCTAGTCTTGTAACTAACACTCCTTTGTATGAACAGTACTTTATTAGCCTTGGTAAGAGCAAAACCACATTGTTTACTTGGCTTAAGGTTCCTACTTATCATTACTCTAAATCTCTCTCGCAGTCGGATTTCTCTATGGCATCGTTGTTCATCTGGTATCTGGTTTCCCTGTTTACATCTCCTACACTGGTACTACATTTGTCAACGTTGAATTTCATCTGCCATTTTTCAGACCATTCGAAAAATTTGTTTAGATCTTCCTGTAGTTTTGTCTGGTCCTCGTCAGATTTAATAACACGTCCTATTTTAGTGTCATCAGCAAATTTACTTATGTTGCTGTCTATGCCGATATCTATGTCGTTTATGTATATAATAAATAATAATGGTCCAAGTACTGAGCCTTGGGGAACTCCACTTGTGACGTTGCTCCAATGGGACTTAGTGCCGTTAATGCTCACTCATGCTCACTCGCTGTTTCCTGTCCTGTAACCACGCCCTAATCCATTTAAGGATGTTACCTTTTATGCCATGAGCTTCTACCTTTCTAACTAGTCTTTCGTGGGGGACTCTGTCGAAGGCTTTGCTAAAGTCGAGATATACCACATCATAATTGTGCCCCTCGTCCACCGATTCGAAAACTGATGTAAGAATGTTAATAGATTAGTTAGACAAGAACGTCCGCTTGTGAAGCCATGCTGGGAATCATTGATCAATCGGTGCTTCTCCATGTGATTTCGAATAGAGTTTGAAATGATTGCTTCCAGTAATTTGCCTACTATTGATGTTAGACTGATTGGGCGGTAGTTTAGATAGATTTTAAACGATGATTCAGACGTTTGGACAGATTTTAAACGATGATTCAGACGTTAAGACAGATTCCAAGCCAAGATTCAGATGTTAGACAGATTCTCAAAGATTCATACATTTAAGATTAATACGACCAACTGATTCTTAAAAGAGTCGTTCATAGTACACGATAAAAAGAGATTCTCTATACACAGTTAACAGATTCACAGTGATTCACACGATTATGATTCACAAACACACATACAGAACACACACACAAAATAATCTTACAATATATTCCTGTTACATATTTTTCCCTCTAACTCTCAAAACGTGAAAGTAAACGGACCCAGTTAAGGTGAATTCCCTGGTAGCAATTTTCTTCATAATTTTCCATCACGTTCTTTGTGTTGCGATTTGAGCGAACCATCCGTACGTGTTCATTTATGGAGGAAATTGTTAGGTTAGGTTAAGTTAGGTTTGAGCTGCATGGATTAGCTAGTCCCAATCACACTGACCTTTCTCTATACCTATCTTAGCACTGTCTTGCCCCATCCCGTCGTCCACAAGAAAATAAATATCCTCAAAAACAAAACAATGTTTACAGACAGCTGACCAAGTGGAGGTAAAGCAACACACTGAAACACGCACTGAAAGCTTACTGTAGTCACGTGATATTTTAAGCTGTGTGCAAGATGCCTGGAACGATAACACAGTCCTCTTGCCAATAACAAGATAAGGACGACTGAAACGATATATAATACTTTCTTGCCCCGACAGTCACCACCACCACCACCATAAGGCCCCCAAAAAAAAATAAATAAATAAATAAATAAAAATGAAACTAAATAAATAAAATCGAGGACGACCACAATGATAGCATGACCTTCCCCTCGACGATCACCGTAACAGTGTGAGGCGGCCGCTACCTCCCCCCTCCCACCAACTCTCAGGTTTGTTAATAAGGTTTTATGTTCACACCAGAAGCCACTTGACACCCCAGCGCTTGACACTCGACACTCGACTTTCCAGCATTTGACACTCCAGCACTTGACACATGAGATCTCAGCACCAGACTCTTGATATTCCAGTACTTGACACCTGACACTCAAACACTTAAAAATCCAACACTTGACACACACATTTTACATCAGCTCTCATCACCTGACACTAGTACTTGACGCTACAACTTGACACTGGCGTTTAACTCATAAACACTTAATAATTGACTCTTAACCACTCAACCACTTAATCCTGACACGAAACTCATGACACCTGACACTAGAGCCCTTATACTTTCACACATGACACCTGACACTGGATCCCTTCACACCTGACACTAGATCCCTTCACACCTGACACTAGATCCTTTCACCTGACACTAGATCCCTTCACACCTGACACTGGTTCCCATCACACCTGACACCGGATCTCATCACACATGACACCCGACACTAGATCCCTTATACCTCCACACATGACACCTGACACTATGAACTGGCTACAAGTTGGGTATATCTTTTGTTCCTCGGCTGGAGTGCCACTTGATAATGACCTGAATCATCAACCTGGATCCGGGAGTCTTAAAAAGGGCTCGTATGTTCAATAATATTCTCCCTTAAATAACAGGAACCGATTCACTCCTTGTTGACCTCACAGTATCGTCAGTATTATCCACTGGTGTTTTAGGTATTTTCTGTCGACTTTTTGATGTTATACTTTGTCATGTCTGTCTCTCTCTCTCTCTCTCTCTCTCTCTCTCTCTCTCTCTCTCTCTCTCTCTCTCTCTCTCTCTCTGTCTGTCCGCCTCTCTCTCCTTCTTACTCTCATTCTGCCTGTCTCTTTCTCTTGTTTACTGTCTCGAAAAATAAAGGCTATATTATCGACACTATATAAAGGGTTACCAGAGAGAGAATCATCCAACTCAGACTAAGGCAACATTCTCAAAGGACCATTAACTTAAATTACTTCCCCTTTAACAGGTAATATAAGAACATAACTGAGTCACTCAATACGTGGCATCACATGGAAAGATTCCCAAAGACTCGGGAGTTTAATCGTCACCGTGAACTGGAAACGACAGAATGATATCAATTAGTTCTCATAGTTGACGGAAGAGGGCGACGAAATTATACTGAGGCTCTACCATAATTGGGCGTATTCTCTTCTTCATTTCTCACGGGGTAGGGGAAACAGGGGTATGGGAGAGGGGAGGGGGAGAGGGGAGAAGGGAAGGAGGCGGGGTAGAGGGGGAGGAGGAGGGAAAAGAGAAGGAAGGGGAGAGAACCTACGAATTTTTTAGAATAAACTCCTCCTCTTGAATCCGGATACCCTCATTGTGGCACGAATTTTAGTGGTGACCATCTACAGTCTCGGCCCTCATCACTGGCCTCTCACAGCGACGCCTTCCTCATTTTTGGTGACGGGTTTTATTGAATTTCTCTCATTTCTTTGGTTTAATGGCGGTTTATGATCCGTCTCTCCCGTTAACGCCCATCTGAATGAACCAATCTTGTGTCTGACTAATGCTGAGTACGCGCCACGAGTCTCCCGGGAGATGCTCACATGTAAAGTTTGAGAGGATGTGATGTTAACGTGTGGGGCCAGGGGGGGTGTTTTTCTTAGTTTCCTAGACGGTTTGTTGTCTGCGGCACAAACTGATGTAGTAGAGGATGGCTTTTAAGACCGTGGCTGGCCGTTCAAGCAACTAAAACTAAGACTCAGAGAATGGTACTTAAAGACCCTGGCAGTTGGCTTCAAGTCCTTAAAACTAAGTTGAAGTTTCAAAAACAAGGACCAAGCGAATGGTACTCAAAGCCCCGGAGAGATGAAACACTTGAAGACTTCGTGGACCCAGCAATCGATTCCTAG